ATTCACCGTCAACAAATAGAATGCATACAGACACTGCTGATGATAGCTGAAGAAAAAATATATGTAATTTAGTCACACTTGGTGTGGCCCGTAAAGTATCGCATAAGTACAAGAAGTCTTGGCAACCAGCTTAAAAAATCACTTTAAAATCATTTCTCCGTAAGTGGAAATCATGAACCACATCGTATAGTTGATTGAATGATGACTGCGAAGAAGCCTGGTAGAACAATATAGCAGCATCAGCCTTGCGGATTGACATCTCTCGCGCACCCGTATGCTCCTGGAATCATTTAAAGTATCGCTTGTAATTTTTTTTAAGCTCTTTCAAATCATAAAAAACAAAAATAACTCACTTCCAAGGTTTTGACCCCGCTACACAAGCAAAGTGAACGCAAAAATGCATGTAAAACTCAATGCTACATCAACTCTGAAAACACTTGCATTTGTAAAACAAAATACTGACCAAACCCGGATCAACCAATTCAACAACCGCCTCGGAGCCATCAACATCATATGTTAGGTAATATGTATCCTGGTAGGTAACGTGCTTCTCACAAGTTTTTGCTACCGATTTCATCTTTTCAAACTGAAATGTGCAAAAAATTAGTGCTGAAATTGTAAAAGTTAGGACAAAATAATGCTGATAAAAAAAATCAAATTCTGATGAACGCTCATTTTGGTTCTCCAACACTAGATACCGGCAAAGTCATTCTCAAGCTTTCGGGCATTTCTAGGACAGAATCATTTTAAAACACAAAATAGTTAGCTACGCAGGGGCTTGAAGGCTCGATCATACATTTCTGCGTGATCAATACAAATGGTTGTTTCATTTCAGTTTAATATGTGCACTCATGTTGGCAAGGTTTTTGCCTTTTCTTGTGTTCAGAGGGAAAGGGGAGATCGGCTGGAACGATAGTGTTGCATCATGGGGCTGCATGAAATCTAAAAGCATGTATTATTACAGTAGATTTTGGGTGGAGATGTCGTCGGCAAGATGTAACTCAAGTTAGCCATATCCTAAGAATAGCACAAATTCCCATAAAATTTTGGCTTCTTGTTTGCAGATCAAACAGGTGTCAAAACTAAAACTTTACTCCCAAATAACGCGAGGTCGAGACGTGCTCCGAAGCTCAGTTTTAAAAGCTTCAAAACCCATATAGGCTAGGAACATTGTAAAATTTATCTAGTTCCCAAAATCGCCAGTCTGTTGCAAATACTTTCAGCGTACCCTACGCGTGACGCAAGTGCAACCGGAAACTCAAGTTAGCTATATAAGTCCCTACATAGACTATAAATATTTTTGCAAAATTTCAGCAATTATTTTTCGGCTAATTCTCGAGTTAGACATGGTGCCAACGATGAATCTGATGCATCCGTATGCGTGAAATAGGCAAACGTAACAGATGAATTTAAAATTATTGGTCTACATACGAACAAACAGCACCCCTGAAAAGTTTCAGCTTTTCACGTAAAATGGTTCTCGAAATCGATTTTTGCCAAAAAATTCACACATTTTCTTTTAGCATCCGTACGTGAGATCCATACTTATGTTTACGATGATTTCAGATTCCGAGGAGGACACGTGAGGTAGTAACACGCTCGCAAAATTACACTTTCTTGGCTTCGCCAGTTCTGGA